ATATGACTTATCTAACTTAGAAATAATATAGAAGTTTACCATCCTTAATTAGTTATACTTACGAGTTATTTTGACTAATGACTAATGGAAATCATGGCCGACCAAACATCATCAATGTGTTTCACAACTTTTTCTCCAAAAGTGCATAGGTTGGCAACTAATTTGACGTATGGATGTATACATATAGAAAGTTAATAGTTTTTTCTTGCCTTTTACTTTGAACTTAGGTGGAAGGTTTCATTTTCTCCTGTCTAATGATGGCGGACAATAACAATTTTTTTTACCCTTTTTTTTATTTTAAAAAAGTATATTTTTAGGGTTAAGAAAATCATGGTGGGACTATTATGTTTCAACGAGGCTCTAAAGATTTCCTCAAAAAATTGTTTTCAAGATCTCTTGTCACCTAAAGGTAGAAAAATATGGGATTTTTTAAGTGTGTATTTATTATAAATGTTAGAAGATGTGCACATTATTAAATTAGTTGGTTTGATTGAAAAATTCAAGAACCATTTGAAGTTCAATGATGATTTTCTTTTAAAAAAAAATGGATGGTTAGAATCCGTAAAAAAGAAGAAAAACTTAGGAATAGTGACTTCACTATAAAAATCGACCAATTCACCTTTAAATTTTTGGTTTATTTTCTTTAATTTATCAAATTGGATATTCAAATGACGTGAAAGTGAGATCTTGTACCCATGTTTAATAATTCACCTGTCATAATACATGAAACAAATTTTCCGATCATTTCATTTATTTCAATTATGCTGCTTCAAACGAAATTGATGACTTGGATGACGATCTAGGTTTTTAATGTGAGAGATGAATGAAAAAGTATTGAGTAAATTAAGAACCTTAATTAGATATATTTAAATGTTGATTCGATCACAATTCAATCCTTTGACTCTTTAGCTATTATGGGTCGATGTGCGCTCATCAGATTTTTTAAGTATTGGTATTTATTGGATCTCTGATCTTATTTCCTTAAGTTTGGTATAACTTAATCAATACTAATCCACTGGAGGAGCGTCACATGATATAAGAAAATTATTGTAATATTATATAACTACTGAAATAATCTACTTCAATTAGACAAACAATCAACAATATATAAGATGACCAGATTAATAGAATAAATTGTTTAATCAAACACGTGAATAATTTATGAAGAGCCTCAATGTTTCCAAGATAGGTTTCAGATATTATATTAAATTAACACGAGCTTGTTTGGTTAAGCTTAACATAATTATTAGATAAATTAAATTTACTTATAAATAATAAAAGAATTTTCTAAAATTGAAGAATATTTTTTTATTAGTAGAGGAAGAAGGAGGAGGAGGAGAAGAAGATGATGATGATGATGATGAAGAAGAAGAAGTCGGTTTACTTTTTTTTCTTTTTCTTTTTCTTTTTTTTTTTTTAATCTTGTTGAGAAATTTTTTTTCACGAATATACTTTGCTCTTTCTTATTGTAGAAAATGACTATTTTTTTATATAACCATATTCTTTATTACAAGAGAAGGGGGGAAAAATGGTTGAGAAAATTTACATTCAGAGTCATTACTTTATTGATACTTTGCACGTAGGTCCCTATAGTTATATTTATAACGATAAGAAAAATGACAACTGCAATAAAAGGACTAGGTTTGACCTTCTGTTTATGAGGACATGAAAACTTATGTTTTCAAGAGATTGGGATTACAAAGGAAATGAAAAATTTTAAGACATAAATCATGTGGTTGTTTCTCGAATTTTGGTCATCGTATGGCGTATCTCCTCGTCTTGTGGCTCAAAATCACTAGTCGATACAAAGTTTCATACTTTCAGGAAGAAAAATGTAATAGAATTTATCCCACATTTTCTAACATTCACAATGTGGTTCTTTAAAGGACACCCGACTAGAAGGAAGTAGGAACAGTTCCTAGAGGGATACTTGTGTAAACAAACAAAAATAGCTTATAATCATCCAAACAACCCCCCTCCGTCCCGCTCAAATTGAGTGTATATATATCTTCTCTCCTCCTATGTATGTATAGATTCTGGTACTCTTTTCTCTCCAAAATACAATGGATAGCACTACAAAACCACCGCCGGCGTTAGACCTGAATAACCTACGAGCCATCAAACTACTAGGTAAAGGTGCCTTAGGCACTGTCTTTCTTGTTCGTCACAACTCACTTGACTCCTTCGCCCTCAAGGTGGTGGAGAAATCCTCCCTCCACCGTGCCCACCACGAAATCTCCGTCCTCAGCCGCCTTCAAAACCACCCTTTCCTCCCTTCCCTGCTTGGATCGTCGGAAAATCAAGAAATCATTTGTTGGGCCATACCATACTGTCCTGGAGGTGACCTTAACGTCCTCCGTTACCGGCAAGCGGACCACGTTTTCTCACCGGCCGTTATTCGTTTCTATTTAGCTGAAATCATTTGTGCTCTTGAACATCTTCACAAGCAAGGCATTGTTTACAGGGACCTCAAGCCGGAAAACATCCTTGTACAGCAATCTGGTCACGTCACACTCACGGATTTCGACCTATCTCGTACCTTAACACCCAGAAAAGCATCTACCCTGCAATTTTTTTCCGATCATGAGGAGGAACCTTCATTGAAAAAGAAGGGTTTCAACAATACCAAGAAAGGATTGAAGAAAGCGAAAAGTGCACGTGTGTCGCCTGTAAGCAGAAGAAACACGATTGAATTTCCAAACAATGAGCGTTCAAATTCTTTCGTTGGCACCGAAGAATACATGGCGCCAGAAATTATAACCGGAGCCGGCCATGAATTTGCAGTGGATTGGTGGGCTCTTGGAGTGCTTTGTTACGAAATGCTGTATGGGAGGACACCGTTTAAGGGGAATAATCGGAAGGAAACTTTCCACAAAATATTAGCGATGCAGCCGGAGTTCGTCGGAAAACCCGATTCATTAACGGATTTGATCGGAAAGTTGCTGAAGAAAGACCCCACGCGCCGTTTGGGATACCAGAGAGGCGCATCTGAGATTAGGGAGCATGAGTTCTTCCGCGGGTTGAAATGGGACTTGTTGACGGAAGTTTTACGGCCGCCGTTTCTGCCGTCGAGAGATGAGACGGAGATAACGGAGGAGTTGGGTAATGGTGGAATTGATATAACGGATTATTTTCAGAAGTTGAAGGCTCCGCCGTCCCCGTTACGATCGCCGTCACTTGACGAGCCTGAAGAACATAGCATTTCATTAACGGAGTTCTGAAGTAATTTTCTCTTTTTTTATTTTCCTTTATTTTTGAATAGATTTATGTAAATAAAATCAGGTACCGTGCGATATGGACACCGTTGTCAATTATGAGTAGATCCTAGTTGATACAGATACAAATTAGAGTTACAGACGTTGTAATTTTTATTTCGTCTTTGTGGTTTGGCTTGAAAAGTATGGTTCAACATTTTTATTTGGAACCGCTTAAATCGAAGCTTTACGTAAAGTACATTTCAAAATGTGGGTCGGACTAAGGTGTGAGAATTACTCTTTGGTGCTTCAATTTAATATTTTGTACATTTAATAATAGATATTTGTTATTTAGAAGCAATGAATTATTCCTTGCCTTTGGATATAACTATAGGAATATATAATAGGAAAATCATTAAATTCTTAACTTGACAAGAAAGAGAATGATGATTGCATGACTTTATTTTAAAATCTATGTAAAATTGGACGTAAAGAAAGACAGGTTTACAGATGCAACAACCAAGAAATCATTAATCTAAATTTGAATTCATTAAGTTACTATCGACGAAATATTCTCAAATTGTGGGACTAAATTTCATGATATTAACTTAATTTAAGAAGGTATAAAGTTTACGCTCCTCACTTATTATATTATTCCACACATAGAACGATACAAATTTAGGTTCAACATTTTTATTTGGAACCGCTTAAATCGAAGCTTTACGTAAAGTACATTTCAAAATGTGGGTCGGACTAAGGTGTGAGAATTACTCTTTGGTGCTTCAATTTAATATTTTGTACATTTAATAATAGATATTTGTTATTTAGAAGCAATGAATTATTCCTTGCCTTTGGATATAACTATAGGAATAAATAATAGGAAAATCATTAAATTCTTAACTTGACAAGAAAGAGAATGATGATTGCATGACTTTATTTTAAAATCTATGTAAAATTGGACGTAAAGAAAGACAGGTTTACAGATGCAACAACCAAGAAATCATTAATCTAAATTTGAATTCATTAAGTTACTATCGACGAAATATTCTCAAATTGTGGGACTAAATTTCATGATATTAACTTAACTTAAGAAGGTATAAAGTTTACGCTCCTCACTTATTATATTATTCCACACATAGAACGATACAAATTTATTGAATTCCCACTTTGAATAAGTGGTTTCTATTAATAAAATAATTGATTTTTAACTTTAACTCATATGTTCAAGTTTATGAAGTTAGATTTTACTTCATAACCTAAAGCGAAATTTTGACATTTGAAGTGAGGCGTGTTCTTAAGAGGGCGAAGTGAGCATAATATTCATTTTTCAAGATATTTATACTACTTTTGGAAGTTTCAATTTTGTTAAAATTCCAAATACCTCCCTGAGATTACTAATAATATCAGAAACCCCCTTCCTTTTAAAAAAAAAAAAATTACACGAATTTGCCTAAATCTAAAATCAAAGAGAAAATGGTGGTATCATTTGACAACGTGGGGTGAATGATTTTAGAGGGGAGGGGCATCCGTGTGTGTGTAGTAATTACTAATTAAACCAATTACAATAAAGTTGTATAGCTTTGGGGACCCAGTTGCGCTTTAACTTTCACAGAAAGTGGACGTAAAGGACCAAACTTTTGACAGTTTTTTTCTACCTTTTGGCCAAATTGAACGGTAGGAATTGATCTATGCTTCTCATGACTTCAGTGAAAAAAAAAAATGAAAAAAGAAACGGTGAATAAACTTTAGTATGTCCTATGAAGTCATTATTCTAATACAAGTGAACAATACAACGTAAACTTAAGAGTAACGATTGGGCTATTTCATGTCGACTTAGGGGTTTAAAACAGTTTAGAATAAAATTTTATTAAATTTGTTATGTGAAAGTGTTGGAATAGATGTTTAGCTTTTAACTAGGGAAATTTGTGGTCGATATTCATAGCAATATGGTCTCAAAACTTTAAATTGTAGCAATTGCATTTCAAATCTTTCAAAATGTGCAATAAAAGGATCTATGGATGGTTTCCGTCCAAAAGTCCGTTTATTGGCCAAAATGCCATCATTCTTCGGATGGAAAAACTTCCAAATTTCCTTCTACTGCATATTTTTTAAAGAACTACTATGGATTGAAGGTTCGGAAATACACTGCAAATTTTTAAAATGTGGGACATCGGGAGCAAATTTCCCTTTAATTATCAAGTAAAAGTTATATATTTTTGACCAAGCCAACCCTAATTACAATGAAAAGAATTGATTTTAGCAAGTCTGTTGAATTGGGAATTACATTCAATATAGTCTCTGCTATGATTTGGTCAAAATTTGAGAATGGGATCCGACGTAGATGTAAGCTAGCCAATGATGGATTAAATATTCACCTAAGACCATTAAGTTTGATTATTATTATTATTATTATTATTATTATTATTATTGTGTGTGTGTGTGTGTGTGTGAATTAGGTGTAAAATGAACGAACTACTCAATTAATTCAGTTCAAACATGAATTTCGCACTCGTAGCAAAGATATATGGGAAGTTTGACACATATAATGTGGAAGGTATACAATGAATCCAACAAATTTTAGAATGAACATTTCAATGGAATTTAAAATTAACTTCATTTATTTTCGAGCCAATCTTGACCTAACTTCAACCACTTTGAACACAGGTGGAGTTAAGAGAATATATATATTCTTTTTAAAACTGTCTAGACCATAGAGAATTTGGGTAGACCTCTACCAATCTATTGGAGAAATTTTGTATCACTTATTTCCGGGTCATTAGTTCAAAACGTCCATATCTTTTAAGTTTATTGTGAAAAAATTCCTACCTTCGTTTTTAGGCATTCCTTATTTCCACCTTTTTTTATGGAAACGTCCTAACATCCACTTAAAATCACTTGCTCCTCCATTCAATACAAAAATACATTTTTCTTTTCAAACACCAAGGATAAAATATTCTCAATCCATTTACACCCCCCTCTTCCCGCCTTCAACATCCTTTCATAACAAGTTCCATGTAAGAATTTACTCAAATTCTCTTCTGTGCACCATTTACAATAAAAGAAGTCAACGAAAAGCACGAACCTCCCTTCATACACCACATTGTTTGGTTTATCATAAAATTGGCCTTCATAATGTACTTCAACAGTAAAATATTCAGGATTAACACCTGTATACAATAATATAAAGTTCACATCAAAATCAAGCAATAAAATTGGAAATTTTAGGCCTTGATTCTAACTGGCAAATAAATTGAAATTATGTGAATGCACAGTGGAATTGGATGAATTCACATAGAAATTAGGAAATGAATATTATACCATAAATGGGTTGCTAGGATTTCTCAAAAACGGAAGAAACGTGTTGCCCCTCGAAGGTCTGCATAACGAAAAAGTATCAAAACTCGACATAGATTCTCAATCGTGCAAAACACTAAATTACGAAATGAAAAAAAAAAAAAAACCTACTTGTAATGTCTCTTACCTTTGCTCTTCCAAAATTTATCACTACGTGCTTCCACTATGCGCCCACGAGATGAGATGATAGCATATCAGAGGAGAAGGAAGGAAAACTTGTACAAATAGGGAAAAAAATGACTTTTTTTGAAGAAGAAACCTCGACGGAACCTTCATGCGTAAGAGAAGATGAAGGGGTGTAAATGGGTTGAGACTATTTTACCCTTGGTGTTTAAAACGAAAATTATATTTTTGTAATTAATTAACAGAGCAAGTAACGATAAGTGGATGAAATGACGTTTTCCGCAAAGAAAAATTGAAATAAGGGGAAAAAAGTCAAAAAATAAAAAGTAAAAACGTTTTCCTCTATAAACTTAAAAGGTAAGAACGTTTGTGCTAATTACCCTTTATTTATGATTTGATTCAAGTTAAATAGTGAATCTCAATTATTTAATACACGTATCGATTGATAAGGGATCGAGATTACTAAGTATTTAATTCTCTAATAGTAAAAACAAAATAATATTCTTAGTGAGTGGACACGGAAGATGGAATTGTTCCGT